AAAACCCTAGCTTGCTTCCACAGCTCTCAGAGGAGCGCACTGCCACAGAGAAACAAGGGGCCAGTGCGGGCTCACAGGTGGTCTGACAGCCTGCCCATAAGTCACCTCCCTGGCAGTCAGGTGCCCCACACAGGTCGGGGCGGCCGCGGCCTGCGTGTTTCTCCTCACCTCTGAGGAAGCCGCTGCCTCCCACCCTCGCCCAAAGCCTGCCCAGCCCACCTGGCTCCCTGAAACCGCCCCTTGTCTCCCAGCCTCCTACCCCGACCAAATATTTACAGGCCCTTCTAGGGTCAACCAGGACCAGGGATTCTTTTTTCACTGAACACACAGGACTCAGGCTGCTTCTGGCCGGAGCACAATACTGACCTCTGTCAGGTGCTGGCAGCCCATGAGAGGGAGCGGGCGGGGAGGGGCTCCCTTAGCCCATCCTGCGAGGCCCCAGCAAGGCGCTCCTCACCCACCGCCACAAAGGGGTCAGGCCCTGCTCTGCACCTTGGCTCTGTCCCCGGCACCTGCCGTCAGAGCCCCCGGCAGTCTCTTCCCTGGGACCAAAGACCAAGGAGGCCCTGCAAGGCCTGAGCGCTCCCTGCATTCAGTTCGGCCACAGAACACCCCCTCCTGGCCAGCCTGAGACGGGCGGCTGGTGGTGCCCAGCGAGCATCTGCGCGGCGTACCGGTGAATGACGGCATCTGACCGCGTGGAGCAGAACCCTCCAGAAACAGCGGGGCTTCCCCACTCAAGAGATCCGGAGGTGCGAGGTCCGTGTCCCAGGCTCATTCTGCCTTCCTGCTCTGCCAGTGGGTGGTGCCTCCTCCTCCCAACTTCTCAGCCACATTCCAGGGAGCAAGGCGGGAAAGGGCTAAGAGCAGAAGCGGCGCGTCAGCTGCCTCTGGTCCTTTTGATCAGGAAAACAGTAATTTCCCAACAAGTCCTACCTGGTAGATTTCCACTTCTCGCTCACCAGCCAAAACTAAGCTCACCAGCCAAAACTAAGTCACATGGCCAGTCCAAGTGCAAGGGAGCAGAGGAAGTGTCTCAGCTGGGTGCAAAATGAGAGTTCTGATAGAGAACAGAAGGGTTTTGGGGTAGGCCCATGACACTCAGGATCAGGCGAGAAGAGGCCAGTTCTGGTTTCCAGTGCTGTGACTTAATGACCATGTGACATTGGGGACATTTCCCAGCTGGAAAACGGGAGTGATTCTGTCTACTTCACACGGCGGCTGAGTGTTAAGCAGGGAAATGTATGAAAAATACCTGGCAACAATGCCCAGCATTTAGAAGATGCTCATTAAATGGTAATTAGTATTTTTATTAACCAAAGGCCTTGACCTAGCACAGTGCCTGCACAAAATAAGTGCTTATTAAATTCCTAATTGATTTGTTAATCAACTAAGAAATGCTACTGGCAGGAAAGCAAGGAAAAGACAGGAACATCTTATCTAAAGGCCAGAACTGTTACTTCCAGAAGCGGGAGAGAATTCACATTTGTGGTTTTGCATCAGAAAATACATCCCCAGGTAATATGTAGGGCAATAGAGAAAAGAAGACATATAATATTATAGTAGCATTCAGTATATAGCAAGTCCATTAATATATAAATATTCAAGCACTTGGGCATTTTAATTTAAGCCTCCTGAGGTAGGTACTATTATTATCCCCATTTTAATGGTGAGGAGACTGAGGTTCAGAAAGGTTAATGAACGCATTGAAGGACACACAGCTGTACTTAGTGGTGTGGTTAGGATTTGACCCCATGCTCTTAACCCCTGTACTACTGCCTGCAGGGGGCAAAGCTGAGGACAGGTGGGCAGGATCAGAGTACAAGCAGCCATGCGTCTGTTACCCTGCCTCCCAGGAAGATTTCTGGGGACCCTGCTCAGATCTCACTCCAAGCACCCTGAGAGCAGCAGAAGAGCCATCCTTGAACCATGGCTTTTCTCCCGAATCCCAGGGCAGCCCACCCCTTCGCCCCTCCTCCTGTCTCAGCCCCATCAGCATCCAGCCTCTCGGGTCCCACAAAGGAAGCTCACATCCCACAACTGTTTAGTCGACTGTAATCCTGGCTAAAGTTCACTCCTTGGGAAATCCAACGTGGGGGGTGGTTGCTGCTGGAATGTGTGTGGCTGGGACCCAGTGTCCCAGCCCAGACAGCAGGCTCTGCTGGGGCCAGGGGAATCCAGAACCTCCAGCCCCCAGCTGTGCCAGAGAATGGAATGTGCTACCCTAGGGTGTTGCAACAGACCCAGCCAAGGAGATGGGGCAGTGCTGGGAGCTGGGGGAGCTCCTGCCACAAGGCTGCCTCTGTTCCCCTGGAGGCTGAGCCCACTTCACTAGGGCTGGTGGTGGGCAGGCCCTCCTGTTAGCTCAATGGCTCAGAACCTCCTGGAGCTAGTGGGAACAAGGCAGAACAGAAGGGAGGTGACAGCCAGGACTGCTATGGTGACCAGTTTCTCTGAGGCATCCACAAGCACCTGTGGCACGGTTCACATTGCGGCTCCATGGCTTACTAGCTGTGTGACCTGGGGCAGGTTACTTAACCTCCCTAGGCCTCCACTTACTCATTGGTGAAATGGAGTTAATGGCAGAACTTAGCTTTGGGGACAGTCACGAGGTTTAAATAAGATGACACACTCAGCTTACTGCCCAGTACAAGTGCTCAATAAACGTAGGTATTATGATCTTAGAGCCACCAGCTGCAGGACAGATGCTGGAGCCAGGGCCTCGAAGCTTCCATGGAGACAAAGGGATGAAAATGGCACTTCGTTTGGCTTCAGCTCTGAGAGCCAGGTGGCCAGCGACCTCAAATCCCAAAGACCCCACAAACCACGGCCAGTTCAAGGTCTGCCAAGGCTCACTGGAGGCTGCTCCCCACCACTAGCAACCCATGAAAAGATGGCCAGAACCCTCAACCCAAGCCAGGCCGTGGGAGCTGGCCATCCATCCAGGTCTGCCCAGCAGGTTCCAGGGCTGTCGCAGACCTGGCTACTGTCCCCTCACTTGGTCCCTGAGAACAAACTGGGAAGCATCTTTTAAACCAGGCATCCAATTCTACAACGGACAATCTGCTTTCCAGGCCATCCCACCTTTGGTCCTCTCCATGCTGTGGACCCCAGGCAGCGGGAAGGCACAATCCACTGCTAGTAAAACCCTCCATGGCTCCATTTTCCCAGTGGCACCTGCACTTTGAAGATGTCCATCACTGGCCTGCTCTGAGGCCCTCACACGCACCTCAAGGGGACAAGGAGGTGGCTTTCCTTCTATGAGGCCACTGACCCCCAATGATGAAAACCATGTTTCTCACACTCTGAATCCCATGTCCTGAAAGCTACTTGTGCTATAGTCTGTATTTCACCATTAGACATTGTTTTCATTTTCCCAACATAAAATATTGACTCTGCTTTTTCAAACTATACTCTGGCCTCATTCTTTCCTGAAAATAATCTATGATTATTCTCTAGTTTTAAAAAAAATTGCTGTTCTAAGCCATGCAGGGCAGAGTTGTTTTGATATTCCTAAAGATAGCCAGAATGAGAGAAATGAGTTAGTGTTTATTGAGCATTTACTATGTGCCAGGCACCTTGCTTCCCACCTGGAGTGGACTATCTCATTTAATCCTCACAGCAGCCACACAAGATAGAGATCACTATCTACCCACTTTACAGATGAGGAAAGCAGCACAAAAAGGCTTGGGGGCAAGCCCCCTGCAGCAACTCCAATGTGGCTGCAGCCAATGGTAGAACAGGGCCAAGTGTGGAGCCGGTCCATCGCAGCACCCGCCTCTACTGTCACCAGGATGCTCTCTGGCTAGTGCAGGCTGCTCCTGCTCTAAGGGAAGTCCCTTCTGGTTCCATCCTCCAATGCTGTGGGGAACCCGCATCTTCAAATGGGTATGGTGTGGCTCCCACAGTGAGGGGCTGGACTGGATTATCTCTGAGCATCCCTCCAACTGACCTACTATGACACACGCCCTCCATGAGAAAAACTGCCTTCCTGGGCCTGTGCTACCACTGCTGTCCCCTTTTGCTCGAAAGCCCTACTTTCCACTCCTCCAGCATCTTTACTGTTCCTCTGGACTACCAGGCCACTGAGGTCGCTTTGGTACTTTTTTTTGCCACTTGGGTACTTTTTAAAGTGAACATGCTCTTCTGTAAAAACTGCTAGGACAAGGTTCTGGCTGCTTCCCTGTCTCTTGGGGCCCCCTGCTGGGGCTCCCCCGTACTAGGGGAAGTTCCCAGACCGAGGCCTCAGTGTGCTGCGAGGACCCCTCAGGCACCGCAGTCTGAGTTGCACGTGCATGGGGTCATGAGGATGTGGCTGCAACCTGACCTCGACTCCAAGGCAGAGTCTCTCCACCCCCCTTTACTGCCTCAGGCCGAAGGTCTTGAAGACACCGCTTCTACCCAGCTGTGGTCTGCAAAGTGCCAAGCCTCGTGCAGCCGCTGCTTAACCTCCCTGGGCCTCAATTTCCTCCCCTGTAAAAAGGGAAGAAAAAGTGCCTACCTCTTAGGGCCATCTTGAGGATTAAATGAAATAATGTGTGTAAAGCACGTATCACAGCGCCTGGCACCCAGTAAACACCCCCCAAACCCCAGCTCCCAGGGAACTGCTTCTACTTACCATCTCACAGCCAATCCTCTTTCCGGCTGGTTCTCAGCCTCCCCCAGGGCTGATCCTTTTCTGCTTTCTCAGAGGGATTAGCTAAAATCTTTCCATTCTAAAGCCTGCATCGCTTAGTATTTACCAAGTTCTGGTCCCCAGCCCAACCCCCAGCCCTCACAATGTGGTCACAAGTCAATCCAACAGGCATCTCGCTGAGCCCCTCCTGCGCAAGGCACAGCTTTCCTCCCCCAACCCCAGCTCACACCCCAACTTCAGCCTCCACAGCCCCTCCGCCCCGTCTTGCAGACACAGCCCAGGCCTGCAAACTCAGCCAGTGCTGGGGGGGACCTGGCTCTCCAGCCTCAGGGAGAGGGGGCATGCAAGGACCAGGACAAAAACATAGGAAGCTTGAGGCCTTTTTATTGACAATTCTCCATATACACAGACATCCTTTTAGTTCCTCTCCAGTGTAAGTAAAGCACAAGCACTTAACTCTCATCTCTCCACAGGACCCGAGGAAGGGGGACCCTTAACTCTCATATCTCCACAGGATCCCAAGGAAAGGGGTCTACCAAAGCCCGCCTGGTTCCCCAGGGACTTGCCCCACTTGGCCTGGAGAAGTCCCCTGGCTCCTAGACTGGTTGGCCTGGAGGGAAAGCTGGCCTAGGATGATCCTTGTCTCCCCAACCTGCCACCTTGTGTCCCTGCTTAGGGTATAGAAACGTCTCCGCCTCCCAGGGTTCTGAGTCCCAGGCAGCCCATGAGTTCAGGGAAGCATCCTAGGGTAGGAGAAGCCCCCGTCCTCTTTATCCCATTCCTTGTGCCACATGTTCCCGGGAACCATGCAATAAATAAATAAATACTTCAAAAAGGCAGGGAAGCTCCTGGGGAGGGAAGGGGTGCCTGAGCCTGCTCATGGCTTCGGGAGAGACACTGTGCCCCTAGAAGCCCAGAGTGAATGTGAAATTGTTGGAGAGGGGATAGGGACCCCAAGTGGCCTTATCCCATAACTGCTGTCCTGCTGGAGAACAGCCCTGGAATCTGAGACCCAGCCCAGCGAGATCCTACACTTCTCAGGCCCCCAAAGGTTGAGGGCTTCAGGACCTCTGCTCTGCTTCCTGGTCTCACACTCCATGGGACAAGGGGCCAGGGAGGGGAATTGTAGCTCTAGGCCAGAGAAGGGGTGCCCAAGGCTCTGAACACAGGAAGCAGGAGTGATCTGAGTGCCCAGCATCTACCGGGCAGAGCTGAAAAGACCAGAATAACATGTGGGCTGAGATTCTGTAAGTCAAGGTCCCTGCAAGGTGGGGCTGAGGCCCTCTGAGCTGCTGGGGTGCCCGTTTTGCTCTGCTTAACACTGAAGGATTCTACCAGGCCCTCCTAGACACGTCCTCCTCTGGGGGAATTTGGGAACTTCAACCCTGTTTCTAGAAGTACTTTTGGTCTTGATAGCCCTCACCACACCCTCTGGTGGGGAAATGATGAGGTCCTGATGCCTGAAGGGACATTCGAACAGAATTGGGACATGTGCAAGCCCTCTGCAGGCTCTCAAAGGGCAAGGGCTTGGCCCAATATCCAGCAGGGGAAGAATCTCTTTTCCCAATCTCTGACCTCCAGTCTTCTAGAATTCCCAGGCCTGCAGGGACACCCTGATCCCAGGTGAGACCAGGCCTGGATCACTGCTGCCCTCTAACTTACATTCCCTGCCTAACCCTGAGTCCACTAACAGCCCAGAGCAGAGCAGGGCAAACACTCCAGTCCTTGTTTGAGAGCAACCACTACTGGCCATCCGTAGGAGTGGAGAACAGCTCCAGAACCTGGCTGGAGTCAGCAAGGGCAGGAAGGGGAAGCCTACCTAGCATTCAGGCCACATTTGCCCAGCACATGCCACATGGGGCTAAGGGTGGGGAGAGCGGGGTCTACTGCTGGCCCCAGGGACAGGCGCCCACTTGGACCCTGGGCCCTCTTCTCACTTGCTCAAAGTCTGGTTACACGAGGCACACACAAACACAGTCTCTCTCTGGGCTTCAGGGGCTGAAAAGGAGGAAGAACTTGGTGAGACGCTTCCTCGTGCCCTCTGGCTCATGGCCCCAAACACTAGAACCTCCTCCCCACTCCCCGAATCCCCACACAGACCACCCATCGCCCAGCCTACAAGCTCGCTGTCCCAGCTCACCAGCCTGCCCTCAGAGAATTCTCTTTCCATGGGAACTGGGGGCTTTGGGGGTGACCATACCAACAGCAGGCCTCACCCAGATGTTCTATGCATTAGAAATTATTTTAGCACCAAAAGAATACCTTTAAAAATGTTTTTTAAATAAAATACCAGAAAAAAATTTTCCAGAATGTTTTAACAGTGGTTATTATCTCTGGGTGGTAAGATTACAAGATTATTTTTCTCTTCCTTCTTCTTCTGTAATTCCCAAATCTTCTAGAATAAGCGTATGTTACTAGCATGACCAGAAGAATGAAAAAAGGACACTCCATTTAACATTGTAACGTAGTGCAAAGCAGTATGTAATACATGCTCCCATTTTTTTTTAGGACATGCATATGTATTTATCCCGTGTGTGACGGCATTAATGACCGGGAAGGGTCCACGCCTAACAGTTCTCTCTGGGAGAGATTGTTTTCCTTTCTTTGGCTTTTTGTTTTGTTTACAATGAGTAGGTATAGCTTTTATAGAAGGAAAAGAAATTTTTTTTTTTTTTTTAGTTAAAAGCATTACCAAGGCCATGAGAAAGAATGAAATTCAGGAGGTGGTCTGCCTGGGGAAGGCGGGCGTGGCGCTGGGAGGCTTGGTGGTGCTGCTCGTGCTCTATTTTCTAACTTTAGTGAGCGGTGGGAGGTAGTCCTTACTGCGCTTCACGATTCAGGTGCGTTTTATATATATATACTCCTGTCCGCGCATCAAATGTTTTCGTTTTTCCTTTGTTAAAGGGAGATGGAGGAGATCCCGAGTTCCCTGGACCTCTCACTGACCCCTGGCTCCCTGCCCACACACAGCAGCCCCAAGAGGAGGTGGGAGGCAGGCGCGCCCTCCCGCTGCCCGGACCCCCAGCCTGCACCACTCACCTGTGGCCCCCATGGAGGACCTGGGTACCTTGAAGGAGCAGCACCGAGAGCAGAAGCTGTTTCCACAGTTACTGCAGTTCCGCTGCAGACAAGAGCCAGGGTCAGTCTTGGATCGCCTGCCCCCGGGCACGTGGAGCTCCTTTCCACCAGCTGGCCCCACCCAGAGAACCTGGGACAACTATGGGAGTGGGGAGGTGCCCGAGCGGGTCAGGACTGAAACCAGATGGGACATCCCACGAGAAGGCTGGTGAAGGCATGGGCACAGGGGCAGGGCTCCGGAGACCCACTCATTTGAGCAAACCTCAGACCAGACCTCAGGCCCAATGTGGCCCAAGCAGTCAGACTTCATCTGTGACCTCGAGCTACTCCCCTACATCTCGTCCCAAGTCCCCAGCAAACACACCCTCAAGAAGACTTACCCTCTTCTTCAGCACTGAGAAGGTGGCCGAGCAGCCCGTACAGCTCCCTGAGAAACAGAGGCAGCAGCTCAGCTTTGACCCAGCCCAGGCCTTGCAACTCTTGCCTTCTCCTGACTCTTCTAAATGGGGACACTCAGGGCGCCAGCCCAGCCCAGACTCCTTGGCTGGGAGCAGAGTGCAAAGTCCAGATCCAGAGCCAGAAGGAGGGATTCAAACTAAGAAGGAAAAACCGAAGGCCACCGAGAATCGATGTCCCAGACTATACACTGCTGCTGCCCCTGCTCCCACCTGGGGCTTAGAGACCCCCCACCTGTAGGGCCAGCCCAAATCGCAGAGCATCCAGCAGAATCTACCCCCTGGAAATCACACCACGTTGGCAGGGACTTGACAACAGGCATCCCTCAGAGAAGGTGGCTCCAATGATCTCTAAGGAAACCTGCCTGACACAACCCTTTCCAAAGTGTCTCCTTACAAGTACTCTGCCCACAGCTAAAGAGAGAAATGCCTCCTAAAACACCAGACTCCTGCTTTCTGTCATCTGAAGATTCCAGGAGAGAAGCTCAGAACCAGGCACCTTCCAAAAAGATGCACAGGGCAAGAGGTACAGGCACTAAGAGTGGTGGACAGATGGGGCGATATACAGCTGGGAAAGAGATCCTGCCTAAACCACCAGACACAATGAATCGACAAGGTTTCAGACACGGTTTCAAGCAGAGAAGCCAGTAGCAGCTTAGAAAACTGTTGGAAGGAGGCAAGGGGGGTGTAAGAAGAGATGAAAGATGGGGAAGAGGGGACCAATCTTTTTTTTTTTTTTCTTTTCTGGCCACGCCACACAGCATGCAGGATCCTAGTTCCCCGAACAGGGATCAAACCCATGCCCTCTGCAGTGGAAGAGCGGAACCCTAACCACTGAACCACCAAGGAATTCCCCCGACCATTCTTTTCAAGGTGACATCAAGGCAAAGGGGCTTAATAGAAGCTGTGCTCACCACCCACCCCTGCTTCCAGGAAAATTAAAGAAGGAAAAGGTGGGCTGCAACAAGGACACAGTCTGATGAAGGGGGCACATGCAGGTGAGTGAAAAAAATCAAAAGGATGGAGGAGGAGAGGAAAAGCCACACTGGGCCCTTATGACTTCAATGAGCTCCAGAAGCAGAAGCAAAAATTTATGAGAACAAGGAAAGGTGCAAGGGCTGCCGCCACGAATACTGACTATAGTTCAACACAGAAATCTCCATGCAGATGGGGGGCAGTGAGCCAGGGGAGAAAAGGCAGGGGTCCACACTAGGCAGGAGGGTGGCTAACAAAAGGGGACCAGAGAGGCCAACCAAGGGCTGTGGGCCCAGAAGAGAGCCGGCTAGGGTCCTAGAAAAACCTGAGAGGGGACAAGATTACTGAAGGAGGTTTCCAGACTTGGGGTCTAAAGGCCTCCTGTGATCTAACCAGAGGAATTATCAGCTTCAGGGCGCACTGCTGGGCCTCCTGGACCATCTGTCTGGCCAGGTACACAGCACCAGGCCTCACCTTCACACAAAGGCCCAAAGCGATGTGGTCCCTTCCTCTATCCAGCCAGAATCCCCTGCAGCTCTTGCTAAAGGACACTCCCGGCATTCAAGGAGAGGGGACCCTAGCTGGAGCCGGAGAAACCTGAAAACAATGGGCTTAAGGCAGATGCTGTTGCTGTTGCTGTCAGCCAGCCCGTGACCCTGGCAGAGGAAAAGAGAGAAGAGCATAGCGCCCCGCTGGCTGGTAATGCCAACCCAGGAAACAGGCTGCTCCAAGACTCTGTCCCCCACACTACAAATTAGGTCAAGGCAGCCCACCTCCGGCTCTCCTTAGCAAGGGGCATGGGACAGGGGAAAGGAGCTGCTCAAAGACTGACACTCTGGCCCCTCTCAACTGGATGGAGTACCAGGGCCAACCGCCCCAAGACAGCCACGTGGTCTAGTGAAACAGCCCTGTACCACGCACAGACCTGGAGCCAGGGAGGGCTCTGTGTGCCGATGCCATCTCAGGTAGGCATGCGGAGGAGGAGGGCACCCCGATCCCTTCCGACACCGACCAACTCTTCCTGCTCGTTTTCAGCCAAGGTCCTGACTCACCATGTGAGGATGCCACGGGGGCAGAGAGAGCAGGAAGGAGCCTAAGACCACACAGACCTGCCAAGGCAATGGTCACGGAGCCTCCAGGGTAGAGGGGACCTTCCCACTAGGACTCTCCCACTCGGAGTTCACGGAGGAGCTCGTGAGCAGCCTGCCCTCATTCCTCCCGTGCATCCCCTTCATCCACTCGCAGCCAGAATGGAACGGCCCCCAAAGCAGCTCACTCACCCCGGCCTGTGGGAGGCAGACCCAAGACAGAGCTGCTACACTTGCCCTCACGGCCCAGAGCTTAAGAATATCTCAAGGGAGGGACAGCAAGCAGTCTTGAAGAATGGAGGGCTAAGGGGGGCTTAGGAAAAGAAGCACTTTCTGCCTTTGCCATCCTCGTGGGAACCTGACAAGCCTTCACCTATCCTGGTTGGGATTATCTGAACCAAAAGCCAAATACAGAAACAGGATAGGCATAAAACCAGGGCACTTCAGACACAGGGCAAAGGGAGGATGATGAGCTAGAAAGAACATGGGGACTTCCTTGGTGGCGCAGTGGCTAAGAATCCGCCTGCCAATGCACGGGACACGGGTTCGAGCCCTGGTCCGGGAAGATCCCACATGCCGCGGAGCAACTAAGCCCGTGCGCCACAACTACTAAAGCCCACGCGCCTAGAGCCCGTGCTCCGCAACGAGAGAAGCCACCACAATGAGAAGCACACGCACCCCAACGAAGAGTAGCCCCTGCTCGCCGCAACTAGAGAAAGCCTGTGTGCAGCAACGAAGACCCAACGCAGCCAAAAATAAATAAATTAAATAAATTTAAAAAAGAAAGAACATGGGAGTCAAATCAGATGACCTGGATTTGAGACACAGCTCGACCATGTACTGGCTGAAGACTCTGGGCAAATCACTCTTTTCAACCTCAGGTTACTCACCCACCAAGTGGGAACATCTAAGGGGCTTTACTTACAATTCATAGATATAAAAGTATAATTTGCCAGAACAAGAGTATTAAGTCTTGTGTAATGTCACTTGGGACTTCCAGAACCTGGCTGCTTCTAAGGACTAAATGAGACAGTGTACGTGAAAGCGCACTGAACACAGAGCACTCGGCAGCAGTCAGCGATCATCACAAATAAAAGGAAGGGATCTTGAATGACTGGGGACGTTCACAGAGCAGAAAGAAACAGCATGTCCAGGAGGTCTAACGCTCAGGAAACAACTGCCCTGGCTGCTGCAGGGGCAGGAAGGTAGGCCCTGAGCGCCCGGGGTCAAACGCCTCAAGATAAACCCCAGGGGCTTCTCCCAGGGCGCAGCACCCGGAACTCACTCCCACCAGAACCGACAGCGCAGCCAGACCGTCCTCCTCCTGTCAGCTGACAGCAGGCAGAAGCAAGTTCTGCGTCAGGACCAGGGTGACTCCCAAGTCACCGGCTCCCCAGGCTTCAGCTATAACTTCATCACAATGGCTCGGCTCGACTCCCACTCTCCTGATCAGAGCCAGGTCTCCGAGCTGTGCTAACAGTCAAGTCCGCCCTTCTCCAAAGCTACCTTCCTGGGTGCACCTCCATGCCCAGTAAAATAAGGACTAGCCAATCTACCAGCTTGGCTGGGGAGAAGAAACATCAGGGCTCCATCATCCCCAGGGGAAGGCACTGTTTCCTTCAACTTGCTTCCAATCGGACTGGAAAGATCCAGACAGGCTCCTAGGCACCTGCGGGATGGACCAGGGCCTTTCACGTTAACAGCGCCCCTTACAAAGCACTTACTGTGAACGTGCCAGCACTTTATGAGCATTATCTCGTTTGAGACCTACAACGACCCTGTGAGGTAAGAACTTATATTATCCACCTTTTACAAAGGGGAAACTGAGGCAGGGGGAAGTTAAATAATTTGCTCAAGGACATCCAGCAGCGCTGGAGTTTGCACCAGGCGCTCAGACTCCACACTCAGTTCCCAGCCATTATACTCCACTGCCCACCACAGCTCTGCCTGCCTCAGGACCACACCTCTCTGCAGTCCCGGAGTGGCGCTTCTGGAACTGAATTCCTCATCTTCCCTCAAAATTTAATAAGGACAGAGACACAAGAAGGAACCCACGTTCCCTCCCTCTCAGTCCCTCTGTGCATGTGCTACCTCCCCAGGGTCCTGTGGACACAGCTTTACTCCTTGCTCTCCTCGTAACCCAGCACCTCTGGCCCCACGGCCGGGGCGCCCCCAACCAGCCCTCCCCTGGGCCGTACCGATGTTGTTGGTCGGGTACCGCTTGCGAAGCCGCTCCGTGAGCCTCGACACCTTGTTGCGCAGCACCTCGTTCTTGCTCAGGAACCCGTTGTCCTGCAGGGCCAGCTCATCCTCTGCCGGGCACGGGGCCCCCTCGTCATCCTCCTGTGGGAAAAGCTGCTTCCAGTTCTGCCCACCTTGTGGCAGGGCTCCGGGATCTGCGTGCATGGCGGACCCCGAGAGGCGTGGCGACCACCGGCTCGGCCACCCTTCCCCCCATCCCACCAGCCCCTGCCCACCTCACCAAGGCTGCTACTTACCAGCACCACCAAGTGGGTCTCCTGCCTCCCAAGGTGCAGGGGAGAAGGAGAGAAAACAGAGAGAAGATAGCAAGAAGGAAGCTGCTGGGAGGGGGGCCCCCAAAGGAAAGGAAGCACATAAGTGCTATGCTGAGTTTGTCTGAGCACGTCCCAAAGGGTGACGTTAACAGAGGCCCCTGTAAAAGGACCCTAACATCAAATAAGCTTGGGGGAAGCTGTGTATTACTGTTTTTCAAACTGGGTGAAATTAATTTGGTCATTACCTTAATAGAACAGAATTGAACAGGAAAGAAAATATCCCTTACAATGTATTTTTCAGGAAACTCGTTTTATTTAAGTTTTTCATATTTCACAGACATAAGTGTGAACTGGGTCAAGATGTAAAATGTGTTCCTTACTCTAGGTCATGAACAAACCTGCTTGAAAGCCCCTGCTATATATATTCCCTACCACCACCACCAAGACTCAGAGTCCACAGCCGCTTCAAGTCTTAGAGAAATCTTAGCAGCTGAAAATGTAAATGCCCACATGGACGAGGCTAATGTAATAATAGTAAAGCGGGCTGGGTGTAAATCATAGGCCTGGTGAAAACTCACAAAACCTCCATTTCTTATATCCCCCACTTTACAAAGAGACATGAAGAGAAGTGATTTCCAACTATAAGAAAAGCCATAGGGCTTCCCTGGTGTCACAGTGGTTGGGAGTCCGCCTGCCAACGCAGGGGACACGGGTTCGAGCCCTGGTCTGGGAGGATCCCACGTGCCGCGGAGCCACTGAGCCCGTGCACCACAACTACTGAGCCTGCGCTCTGGAACCCGTGAACCACAACTACTGAGCCCACGTGCCGCAACTGCTGGGGGCCGTGCGCCTAGAGCCCATGCTCTGCAACGGGAGAGGCCACCACGGCGAGAGGTCCGTGCACCGCAGTGAGAGGTCCATGCACCGCGGTGAGGAACGGTCCCCGCTTGCTTCGGCTGGAGAGGGCCCATGCACCGCGGCGAGGACCCAATACAACCAAAAAAAAAAGAATAAATAAAATAAAATTTTAAAATATATATTTAAAAAAAAAGAAACGCCATAGTGCAAACGTGACAATAAATGGCACTGCCACTAGGACTCGGTGACCGGGGAGGACGGGAAGTGGTGAGGACTGTGTGACTGCTCTAAAGGAGACAGCCACTCCTCGGCTACACTGACTGCTGCAGACTCAGGGCTCCCAGAGCTTCCGAGCTTCTAGAAAAACTGAAAATCTAGAGTTTCCACCGCAATCTCTCCATTTTTAAATATTGGCTCAAAAAATTATTTTAAAGCTTCTCATGCCAAATAAAACACTTCTGCAAACTATGAGTGTGAACCACTGTCCTAAAACCAGGAAGACTGTCTAACTCTCTGCCTTAGCACTTGGCCATGCAACTGCTTTCTCCAATGTCCCATCCTCACCCGTCAAAGGGACATCTTACCACCCTCATCCTTCAGAAGAGCAGGCAGAGACCCCAGCAGTGCCCTCCTCCACATCTGCCTTCCCCACATCTAAGGCACCAAGCCCACAGCCCAGCCAAGGCAGTAAATGACCCACTCCCCCAGCAGGGCGTTTTCCAGAGGCTTCCAGAGCCATCCCTGCCCTGGGCACCCAGGACAGATGCTAGGTCAGCAAAAGGATGGGTGGAGGTTCAGTGGCACCCTTTGAACCAGTGAGTTTTAGCTCAGAGCAAGTTTCAGCTTCTCACTTGGACATAAGAAAACTTTAAAAACCCAGACTTGGAATGTGAGAAGCTACATGGCTCCAGGACCACCCAACTTCTGACCTGGTCAGCTGAGGGTGCCGGGGAAGGCCACCCACCTCAATTGCATCTTTAAACTCCTCGTCAGGCTCGGCCTCCTCAGCCTCCTCCACACTGCCTGGCGTGAGGTCCTGGGGAGAGAGACTCTATTACAGTCAGAGAGATGGCAGCCCTGCCCCAAAGGTAGGGCCACCTCCCCGGAGCCAGCATCCAGATTTCTCAAAACAATGGTTCAAGGGACTCCCCTGATGGCGTACTGGTTAAGAATCCGCCTGCCAATGCAGGGCTGCAACTACTGAGCCTGCGCTCTAGAGCCCGCGAGCCACAGCTACTGAGCCTGCGCGCCTAGAGCCCATGCTCTGCAACGAGAAGCCACTGCAATGAGAAGCCCGCACACCGCAACAAAGAGTAGCCCCCGCTCACCGCAAGTAGAGAAAGCCTGCGCACAGCAACGAAGACCCAACACAGTCAAAAATTTTAAAATAAAAAAAATTATTAAAACAAAAAAAAGAGGGACTTCCCTGGTGGCACAGTGGTTAGGAATCCGCCTGCCAATTCAGGGAACATGGGTTCAAGCCCTGGTCCGGGAAGATCCCACATGCCGCAGAGCAACTGAGCCCGTGTGCCACAACTGCTGAGCCTGCACTCTAGAGCCCATGCACCATAACTACTGAGCCTGCATGCCACAACTCCTGCAGCCCGCATGCCTGGAGCCTGTGCTTTGCAAGAAAGAGAAGCCACCGCAATGAGAAGCCCGCGCACCGCAACAGAGAGTTGCTCGCCACGACTAGAGAAAGCCCGCGCACAGCAACGAAGACCCAACACAACCAAAAAATTAATTAATTAATTTAAAAAAAAGAAAAAGAAAAGAAAAACAACGGTTCACACTTCAGAGGAAATGACACAACTGCCAGAAAGGAAGAAGTCAGGGGAAAGAGAGCAGTCTGTAACCTAGCAGGACAGGGAGATGGGACCAAGGCCACAAAAGGACGTACAGTGGCTGGAGAGCACTGTGGTTGAGAGCACAGGCTCTAGACCCACAGGGCATGGATCTGAGTCCTGGGCCCACTGCCCCTGGACAACCACTCTGTGCCTCAGCCTTCTCTTCTACAAAGGAGAATAATCTCATTCTCAGAAATAACCTACACCTCCGGGGGTTAACGTCTATAAAGTACTTGGAACAGCAGAGTAAACACTCAATAAAGCACAGCGTAGCTCTTGTTACTAGTTAACTATGTCATTACCATTAAGCACTTCAGAGGAGATGGGCCTGGGAAGGAGCAGGAACTAGAGGCCAGCCCAGGAGTTATTTGGTATGAACAAGCTGGTAATAGGGAGGCTGGGCAGCCCGCCCACAGCAGGCTCTGCCTGGGTGGTTAGGGGCACTCACCTCTGTGGGCGTGGGTGCAGGTGCAGGTGTGCAGTCCGGCAGAGCGCCCTTCCCCCCGGCATCCGACGGTGGCGGGCTCTCAAAGGCACTCTCTTCCTGCTTGGGGTTCATCCGCCGCTGCAGAGATGCCCTATACTCAGACACCACTACCCAGAGCAAGGAGAACAGGGTGGGAGGCAGAATCAGGATGGAATGAGCAGTGCTCTGGGGGTACCCACTACTGCAGCCAGCTGGCCGCCTCCTCCAGCACCCCCTCTCGGCAGCAGGAAACAGTTGCCCTCATAACTCTGAACAAGTCACCTAACCCAAGCCTCATAAACAAGACAGATGTACCAATACCTACCCCATGAGATTGTTAAAGAGAGATTAAATGTAGTAAGTGCCTGATAAATCATGGCTTCTATAATTAATTTCCAACCACAGGGAGGAAAACAAGTATAGCAATCACCCCAACATATGTACAGGCCCAGGCTTCTACGGCTCAAGGCCTCTCCAGACTGTTTCAGTGCTTTCGAAGCCAGACGGCAGACAGGTACTCTGGGATCACAGAGATGAGGCAGCAATTCCTGGGGGGCTGCATCCTGGGAGGTGGATGGCAACACTGGGAAAACATCCCTCCCTCGTCTCCCAGAAGCCACCATGTCACGTGAGCAGTGATTCATCTGTCTGGGGAAGGGAAAGGGACCCCTAGTAGCAGCCTCCCCTGTATCCCACTGAACATCTGAGAGGCAGAGCACACCACTCTCCAAGGGAGGACCCTAGTGTGGTGCTGCCCCCTTGTGGAAGGCACAGCAAACAGATGATCAGCCGTAGAGATAAAGGGGAGCCTAACCAGCCCTCAGAGCCGGGTCCCATCTCTGTCAGGTTCTTCAGGGCTTACCTCGGAAGAACTCCACATTTCCCAGAAAGAGTGTGCTGTTTAAAAGGGCAAGGACCCAGCACAGCGGCAGCAGATACAGCATGCAAACCGTGCCCAGAAGAGCCCCATAGAACCTGGATCGACAGAGAGGAACCACAGGATAAGAAATTCGTAAGATCAGAAGGAAACTGGTTCAGGGCACACCCACACGGGGGTCTGGGCAACAAACAGCTATGGGAACAGTTAATAAGCTGACAAGATCTGCTAATCAAACAACTGGAAAGTAAAGTGAGGAGGAAGGATTTACAACCACCAACAGGTCACAACTGACACGGGCAGGGCCGCCTAAACTGGTCCAACACACATCTCTCCTCAGGATCTAGACTCTGAAGTCTAGAATAAGACAGACTTGGATCTGAATCCCGCTCTGCCACTTCTTGCTGTGTGACCTTATGCAAGTCCCTTGGCTCTCTGAGTGTTACTTCCTTCACATGTAAAATGAGGATTAAGTCTTCCCTGGTGGTCCAGTGGTTGAGAATACGTGCTTCCAACGCAGGGGGCATGGGTTCGATTCCTGGTCGGGAAACTAAGATTCCCCATGTGGAGTGGTGCGGCCCAAAAAAATGAGGACTGAAATAGCACCTTCCTCATAGGGTTACTACCAAGAGTGAGACAGTACCATGGAAAGCCTTGAGCACAGTGCCTGGCACCAGGGGAAGGCTAAACAAGTATTAGTTGTCATTATTATTCATATACAAAGAGCCTTAAAAACATTCATTTCATTTGATTCAATAGTTCCATCCTAGTATTCTAAGAAAAAAAAATTTCAAAAGATTAAAGCTATACCCATAAAAATGTGCACTACAGGGTTAGTAATCAAAAGTAGAAACTGACTAAATACATCACAGAATGGTTCCATAAAGTATAGTATAATCACCATCTATATTAATGTTGTATTACAAGTAATTCCAAAAGCTATGTAGCAACATGGAAAACCAGTTATATGATAACAATAAGTGAAAAAAAAAACGGGTTCTCACATACACTATGAGCTATAGAGAGCATTTGCATGTGACAAACTCTACAAGGCAATCCAAACATGAGACTGGCTGCTGTATCAGGGTGGGAGATTCCATGGTGAGTTATTTTTCTATTATTAAAATATTATGACCGCACCTAAAAGAAGGTGTCTGAACAAAAGCAGCGCATTCAAGCCCACAAGCCTACGTACAGGTCTGCACACAAGAGCCTAGTGGGCTCTTTTCCCCTGAGCTAGGGCAACAGGAGCCCTCTCGAGGCAGCTGGCTTTGCCTGGGGTCCTCAGGGCAGCGGTGGTGGGAGCGGACGGGCACTCACTGTGAGGACACGGTGGGGTTCTCCCAGTGCAGCACGCGGTAGACGGCTTCACAAGTGCAGCACAGGCGGCTCAGGAAGGCCTCCAGCTGGATCAAGCTGCAGACACAACATAGGGAGGGGGCTTGTGCAAGCTATACGCCCTGCCTCACCCAGAGGGACCAGAGAGTTTGGGGAAACTTCGTACACTTCAGCCCCCTTTTTTGAACCCTTGCCAAGGTTCCTGCTTTGGTCTCTTCCTAGATGTTGATGTTGGGCTGGCTACTTAACTTTTCCAAGGATGCAGTTTTCCTCTATAATAGGAGGAGCAGGGTACCCACCTCCCAGATGCACTGGAGCTGTGAGGATAAATGGCAGGATGTAGAGCAATGTGTCTCCACCTGGGATGTAAGGTAGACTGACATGAAGAGTTTTTTTAAATGGATGCCCCCCAAAAGCAAAGAGCACATGCTTGTGAAATGAGAACCCAGATCTTGGTTTCTGAAGCGCTCCTCGGAGAAATGGCTGATTCTAGAACAGGGCAGGGAATGTGCAAGATGAATGTGAACATTCTGTTGTACCACAGAATAAGGAAGCACTCAAAAATGATGGGGACACATTGAAAGAACACAGGGGCCAGTTCAAAAGAGCTCCATTGACAAATCTAGGACTGAGATCAAAATTAACAATGACAATAATAAATTATAACCCACTGAATAAAATTTAAAATTCCTACGTTCATATTGATAATAAGGAAAAGCTCTTTCTTATAGAATGTCAGGTAATAATGACAATTAGAAAATCACCTTTGCAAAAAAAGAAAAAAGAACAAACAAAGAAAATCACCTTTGCAACCATCATAGTAATAAATTGATGAAAGTAAGACCTATCAATGGATTTCAATGTAGTGGGTGTATATTTGATGAGGAACAAGTATTTACAAAGTCTCAGAGTATCCCCCCTCAGATTACTAACTCCAGAGGGTAAAATGAATCGTCACTTTACAGTGGAGAAACCTGCACCAAGGTGACCAAAGTTACTATCTCCCATAACAGACAGTGACATCATGTACCTCTTGATATGATACAACAACAATGTCACTTGTCACATTCCTGCCAAAAATGCAGAACCTGAATCTAATCATGAGGAACCAAACTACCACAAATGCAGAGAAATTCTACAAAATAATAAACATGTTCTATTCTAAAATGTCAAGTCATGAGAAACAAAGACCAAGGAACTATTCCAGTTCATAGGAGACTAAAGAGACATAAAAACTAAATGTCATCCACGAGTGTGGATTGGAGCCTAGATCAGGAGAAACTTATATAAAAGACCTTATTAATACAAATGGCAAAATTTGATCATGAACAACTATTAGATAATAGTACTAATGCTAATGTTATCAATGTTAAATTTCCTAATTTTGATTACAGGACTTCGGAAATAGAAGAGAATATCCTTGTTCTTAGAAAATGCATGCTGAAGTATTTGGGGTAAATAGGCAAGATGTTTGTAACTTACTTTCAAATCGTTCAGAAAGAAAAAAAATAATGTCTTAGTGTAGAAAGACAGATGAAGCCAACGTGGCAAAATGTTAATAATTGTTCTATCCGGGTAAAGGGTATGTGGGAGTTCTTTGTACTATTCTTGGAAATCTTCTGTAAGTTTAAAATCATTTCAAAGTGAAAACGTTTTCTGAAAAACTGCAGATACCCAGGCCCCACTCCAGATAACTGACTCAGAATTTCTGGGGTGGGGCCCAGCCCTCCACTGGTTTATAAGTTTCCTTTGGAGCTCCACAGAGGCCTTTGCTGCCCAGGCAGGGATGAGAACCCCTGCTGTATTTCAAGAGAGCCACTGAAGTTGTTATGGTTAATGTTATCCAACAGTCGTAAGGTGCTTCCTCAGAAGTACCAGCTCTGTCACATTTAGGGAAGTTCCTCCACAGCATAGTGATGATGACTTCCTGGGTACCAGACACTCATTTAATTGTCACAACCACCTATGAGGTAAGCCTATAATTATCCCATTTAACAGATGAGGAACCTGAGTAACTTGCCCAATGTCACAGCGATTAAATGGCAGAACTGAGATTTGAACCCAGGCAGTGGCTCGTGTGTGTGTGTGTGTGTGTGTGTGTGTGCGTGTGTTCAGTCAAGACCCTAAACTGTGAAATCAGCTAGATCTGGATTCCCATCCCAGCTTGGTCAATTGCCTTTTTCCTCATCCATAAATGGAGGACAATCATAGTAGCTACCTCCCAGAACTGTTAAAAAGATGAAAGGAGGGGCTTCCCTGGTGGCGCAGTGGTTGAGAGTCCGCCTGCCAATGCAGGGGACACAGGTGCGTGCCCCAGTCCAGGAGGATCCCACATGCCGCGGAGCGGCTGGGCCCGTGAGCCATGGCCGCTGAGCCTGTGTGTCCGGAGCCTGTGCTCCGCAACGGGAGAGGCCACAACAGTGAGAGGCCCATGTACCGCAAAAAAAAAAAAAAAGATGAAATAACATCCATGGTTTGCCCACTACAATGTCTGGTGCCCAGCAAGCACTCAGTGTGGTGGCAGCTGGTACTGTCACTGTCCCTCACCTCCCTGGCCCCTTCCATACTCACAAGCTCTTCACCTCAGCTACGGCCTCGGGGCGAGACAGGCGAACTCTCTGAAGGTCCTCCTGCCTCACGCTATGATACTTCCTCCGCATCAGCTCAGACTCGGGCAGCCGTGCCCGGCAGACTTCCTGAAGGTAGCCCAGCAGGGCGGGCACGGAAATCATCAGGGCACCCACTGAGTACCATGCACCTATGGGAGCAAAAACACTGCAGATAAGCAGATAGCAGGACCAGGAGCCTCCGCCCACCCAGATGTTCACGTGCTCGCTCCCTCACCTGCTCCAGGTCTCTGCCCAAAAGACCTCCCCCAACCACCCAGTATGAAACAGAACCCCCGCCCCCCCACAGCCTCCAGCCCCTTAACCCAGTTTTAGTTTTCCTCATAGAACTTATCACCGCATGGCAGATTACACATACGGTCGTTGGCTCCTCTGTGAATGCAGGCTCCTAAGAGCTGGGACTTTCCCCCATCTGGTCACTGCTGTAGCCCCAGACCCTTTTTTTAAAATATTAAAAATCACTACACTAGCACACAGCACACAGCAGGTGGCTCGTGCCTGGAGTCTGGCCGCTGGGAGCTCCCAATGACTGACAGTCTGATCTTTGGGCCACTAGGGCAGATTGGAAGCCTTCCTTTGGAGTTTAGGATACCACAGACCACTGTGGATCGAGCAATGGTGAGGCTAAAAGAAAATCCAAAGAAGGAACTTCTTCCATGTTAACATGGTACCCTCCAAAGCAAGCGAACAGAGCACCGGGCACTGAGTAAATGCTTGTTAAACATCTGTCATCTGAACTGATTTACTTTGGAAATATATTTAGAAAAATCTAACAGCCTGGGAAGGATATCTGAGTTTCAATCAGACAAAGAAGAGTCCTACTAAGACATAGAAGATGAGGTTTTATGTGAAACGGGTTTATTTTCAACCCATTGAAACCACAGGAGGCAAAGGAGACACTTGAGAAATGTGAATTCAATAGAACAAGCATGAAGAAAGGACTCAGCTCCTCAGAACTTCTGCCCCAGGCCCTTCACTCATTTCCCTTGAGGGGTTTGGCTTTTTCTGCAGCCATCTGCCAGTTCCGACTAAAAGGGCTGGGTCCCAGCATACCTTGTCATAAAAGGTCCCCAGGAGACAGCACTATCCAGGACCCCACCAGCTACCCACCCGTCCACACATCAACCTCAAAGGCTTCATGCCACAGACCCCTCACCACTGGTGACTGCCCAGCAGCCCCGGCCAGGCTCACTTGCTGAGCCAGAGAAAATCAACAGATGTGGCAAAAATCCCTGATCAGCTCACCTTCCTAGTACCTTCACCCCATGTCATGTCCCCAAATGACCCCAGAAACCAAAATGGGAAAAGGTTAATGCATCAGCATTCAGTCCAGAAGGAAATAATAATAACAGCTATAATGTACTGACTGCTTATTCCGTGTCAGGAACTGTGTTAAGTGTTATACATAGATTATCTCATTCCTCACAACGACCCTCTGAGGAAAGCACTGTTACTATCCTCCCTTCAGAGATGAGGAAAATTAGGCCTTAATGAACAGGTTAAAGAACTTCTGAGGTCACACCAGTGGCCCGGCCAGGATTCTAGCCCAGGGTGGGTCTCTCAGGAGCCTGTGTTCTGACATCGAGCAGACACAGAGGGAGGCCAACTCCATGGCGACACAGGCGGCTCCCTCACATGGGCCGCTTCTCAGAATTCCTCCCCACATCCATTCACAAAAAAACCCTGGCCCCTGGTTCTTACCCTCATTCAAGGTGAGGAACAAGATGTTGAGGCCCAGGCAGGTCAGCAAGGAACACAATGGTGTCTGCCACCTACAACACAGAGAGTCCTGGTCACTGAAGACAGCTGCCCCTCCAGCCAGGAAGGGGAGACGGGCACACAGGCGGGTCTTCAAAACCAGGAGGAAGAGGAGGCCCTGGAGCTCAGAGGGTCAGGGAGAAATGAAAAGTGGGTCTCTCACTTGGACAGGCGACCGGGAGAGGAGCTGAGGCCACACTTTAGGCCCCGGGGTGAGAAAGGGCATCCTCTCAGAACCAGAAGACCTGTAGAACCTTTTCCCAGGAGGAGGAAGAATTTATGAAATTATCTGTTAATGTTATAACCCTGTTTAACCTGTGTTTTGTAAGGTTCTATTCTCTTTAAGAGGTGCCAATGACATTCTTCTTTAAGAGTTTTCCTTTATTCTTTGTATTTACTGAGACAGAGTTGATATGTAACGTATTCTTTTTTTTACAATTTCATAAGAACACATGCTTACTGCACAAGACTCATCTAATATGGAAACTGAGAGAACAAAATGTAAAGGATTTCTTTGACCTTATTTGCGACTTTCTCTTATTTCTGTGATTTTGAGAGTTTGTTTTAAACATACATTAATTCCAAAGGAAAGAAAATAATAAAGGTTTCATTTCAACATATAAAAAATGAAGACAAAACCAGGGTTGGCATTCCCTCAGCAAACACACCCAAAGTGAACTGGAACTTTTAGAAGCAAACACAGACCCAGCTCCCACCACCACCAAATGCCAAGCAGAAGCCCCCAAAGACGGAGGAAAGAAAATCAGAGACAGGTTGCTGAAGACGAGCAACGGTGCTGGCTTAGTCCTTGATAAAGGACATTTAACAGGGTAAAGGGAGCACAGACGTAATCACGAAGCCACTGACACCTATATTCTAAAGAGCAGTGTCAGTGGATATAAGGTGGGGCCTCAGAGGAGAGAGTCAAATAGAAAAATCAACAGGTAAGATGCAATGTATTCAGAACTTCAATGCATTTTCTTTTGCTCTAATTGGGATATTTCACAGTTACTAAATGAGGTTAACTAATTTATGGGGTGCTTTTTTTTTTAACAAGAGTTATGAGTAAGGGAGTGAAATGACCTCTCTCTGCTTTTGTCTTAAAATTCCATACACTCCAACTACACCACCCTAATTAGGCCTCAGACCCATCTAGTGGCTGCTACCAGGGTAAAAGCAAATTAAGTCAGGTCTAAGGCCAATCCCATCTCAGAAATAAAATAGCACACAGCCACTGATATCGCTTTCATTTTAAAGCCTCTCTCTCTCTCTCTTTTTTTTTTAAAGATCTGTTTGTTTATTTTTTGGCCATGCCACGTGGCATGTGGGATCTTAGTTCCCCGACCAGGGATCGAACCTGCGCCTCCTACAGTAGAAGTGCAGGGTCCTAACCACTGGACCGCGAGGGAATTCCCAGCCTCTCCCATTCTATCTGTCTTTACCGACACTTTGGTCATGGAGACCCACCTACCGGAGTAGCTGATCCCAGAAGAGAGAAGTCTTTTAAAAATTTACTGTAGCTCCAGGCTTCAGACCTCATAGAAGCTCAAGATTAGATCCCTCTGCAAAGTCGAATCCTCTTTACTAAGAAAAGAACAACCAAACACACAAACTAATCTGACAGCCACTTTCACAGACCAGCGCTCCATCTCCCAGCGGCTCGGAGACCATAAGCTCCTGGGGGCTTCTGAGTCCCGATGCTCCTCCTCCATCCAGCTTAGTCAATCCCACCACATCCTCAGATTTCTAATTTCATAAAATGGAAAAATCCTAATACATTAGTGCCAAGAAGCACTAAGAGACCAGTGCTGGAAAAGGAGAAGGGCAGGATATATTTAACTTTTGTGCTTTGCCACGAAAAGGCAAAACACACATACATACAAACACATGTATATACATACACACATACGTTTGCATGCACAGGTGCATGCGCGCACGTGCACACACACACACAGTAGAAAACGCCAGAGAGCACAGCCCCGTGCTTTCCAGAGCCCACACACTCCCCTAAGGAAGACCACGATTCATTTCAGCTAGTTGGTCATGGTGGGATTACAAAGCGAGCCCCTCCTTACACCATCTGAGAAAATCTGAATATGAACTGGGTATAGGGTGACAACAAGGAATCATTGTTAATTGTGTTAGGTATGATGTTACCTTATTTTTTTAAAAAAAGTCATTATTATTTAGAGACAAACTAAATAATGTGTTTAGGGAGCAGAGTGGTATATATCTATAATTTTAAATACTTTAGCATAAGAAATAAAGTGAGCTGAAAGGAGAAAAAAGAAAATTACCAAGGATGAAAATCAAAGTAGAACAGGAACAAAAACTTTTGAGAGCCATAATCCTAAAGGATTAGTGAAAATAGTATCTGCTTATTCATAGCTATTTGCATCCTAATTTTAATATGAATTATGCTAATGTTGGGAGAGAAGGGGAAAAAAAGCCTGCTCTGGATATAAAAGGCCCAACGGTCAAGGCTAGCTAGCAGTCCTCAGGTATGAGCTTATTCAGCCACAAAGAAGAAATCCTGGTGAAAGGCCAGATGGTTCCCAGTGCCTGCCTCTCCTGGGTTGGGCCTGAGACACAGGGTCTAGAATAAACCCAGAGGCCCAAAGTACCTCCCGGAACTGCTCCTCACCAGCGCAGAAAGGATAACCCAGCCATTGCCTGAGTGGCCAGTGCAATTACAAAGCAGGAAGGCAGAAGGCCCAGCAGTTTAGAGCAACCCTAAATAAAATCTGTACCTGAGCAAATACCGGACACCATCACCTGCATCCTTCAGAGGTTCCAGGTAGATCTCCAGCCTCTTGTAGGACAGAACCAAGTTGAAAAGATCAAACGCCGGGGACTTGGCAGGAGCAGTTGGAGACTCCAGGGGAGCCTCGGGGACCATGCTGGGGCTCACCTCTGGCCCACACCCCTCTCGCTCTGAGGTCTGCATCCTGTAACCATAAGAATCCCTGACATTTGCATTGCACTTCCAATGCCCAACACACTTTCACTTGCATTATTATTATTTTTTTTTTTTTTTGTGGTACGCGGGCCTCTCACTGCTGTGGCCTCTCCCGTTGCGGAGCACAGGCTCCGGACACACAGGCTCAGCGGCCACGGCTCACGGTCCCAGCCGCTCCGCGGCATGTGGGATCTTCCCGGACCGGGGCACGAACCCATGTCCCCTGCGTCGGCAGGCGGACTCTCAACCACTGCGCCACCAGGGAAGCCCCACTTGCATTATTTCATGTGATGCCATAATAAACCTATGAGGTAGGCAGGGCTACAGGTGGAAAGCCTATTTCACAGAGGAAGACACATTCAGCAAGGTGAAGTGAATGACCCAGATAGAGCTGACCCTTGAACAACATGGGTTTGAACTTCACGGTTCCACTTATATGCAGATTTTTTCCAACAGTAAATACTACAGTTCTACACAATCTGCAGTTGGTTGAATCCTCGGATGCCCAACGGCGGATACGGAGGGACCGCGTGGAGGGAGGGCGTACTGTAAGTCATACTCCAATTTTTGACTTCACAGAGGGTCAGCGCTCCTAACCCCTGCGTTGTTCAAGGGTCAACTGTATAAAATCCTGCTCTTCTGACTCTCCATCTAATGTTCTTTTCCCCACAGACCCATCAAGAGTATAAACCATGAAGACCAAGCACACATGGTTGCTGGTGAGAGGCAGCCTGGGGTCTCAAGTGAAACGATGTCCTGAAATATTTTTCTCCCACTCTTTACTTAGTTAATTCCTACTCATCACTCAGGTATCGGCTTAAACAGCACTCCCTTGCTCTGAGAAGTCTTTGCCAACAACTCCAGTCTGGACTGGGAGACCCTCCCCAATGCTCCCAAAGGATCATGTACTCAGTACCCTAACAGCATTTATCACACCAAGCAAAACTCCCTTCTTTCTTGCCAGTCTGCCCCTCTTAACTTTGAGTTCCAGCAGGTCAAAGACTACATCTTCCACTCACCACTGTTTCCGCACACAATGGGAATGTAATAAATGCTCGCTGAGTGAGTGAATTAATTGCCCACCCTCCAGGACCCCAAAGCTTTCTTCCGCCCTGCTGCATGCTCTAAGCTTTCCCTCTCCCTTCTGTTCCCAACAACCTCCTGAACCATCCCTGCCCATTACCCACCCCTTTTTCCCCTTGAACCCTATGGGGCAGTCACCACCTTCCATAAAACCCCATTCCCTCCTCTCTTCTCTGATGGGGATAGCCACAAAACTCTCACCGTCTCTCCTAATTTCAAAGTCCGACCCAAACGCTAAGCAGTAAACAAGGAGGTAGACCCTTGGCCCACAGCAACAAAAGCCAGTTCCAGGCAAGGGGCTGCGATCTGGGACGACGGGGGGAGGAGGGTGTTTGAAGGGGAGGGTAACAAAGGGGCCACCAGGAACCCGAGACCCCCTCAGGAGGAGCTAGGATGAAAGGACCCAAGGCGGGCGCGAAGTAAGCGCCCAGGAAGGGGTGAAGCAGGTCTGCGCCGGCAGAGGCCGGACCATCACCCCTGCAGCCCAGGGAGCCGGACGGGGCCCTGAGACCCAAACCACAGAAGACCACACCCAAGGTCGCTGGGCCAGCAGGTGGCGGCCCCCGCGGCGTTCTGGCGCCCAACTCCGCCCAGTCGGCGGACACACCAGAGTGGGGTGGGGGTGGCACCTCACCTAAGCGGTCGCTGCGACGGTGGGGAAGGGGCGGGGACGGCCAGGAGGCACTGATAGGGCCACCGGACCCCGGCGCGTTTCCTCAGGCCCGCCCCACCACGACGCGCCTCTTCCCAAGGCCTCTCTGAAGTCGCAGTACTGAGAACCTCCGCCGCCTCCCCCGCCCTCGCTTCCGGGACGCGACTGCTCGGCGGCGGCGTGCCCTTGACGTCATCGCTCCCGCCCCGCCTCCCGCCCGACTCCCGGGTTCAGCTCCGCCCGCTCTAGGACAGGTGAGCGCCCTCGTCCGCACTACGCCTGCGCGCCTTTTCTTCCTCAGCCAGGATCCTGGGCTCAGCTGTAGTCCTACCCGACGGCGGTTCGCTAAACCCTGGGAGTTTAGGGAACCCCACCCCTCGCTGTCCCCGCGTCGTTTTGGATTCCGGCAGGGAACAGTTGGAGAGAAGCTAATCTGAAGAATTTACGTCTGCATCCTCCCCTCACCAAATTTGGCACTTACCTCACCCCCTGGGGACCGTGAGCTTACAAAAGGCAGAAACCATATCCCTGCTTGCCCGATGCCTAGCAGAGAATGCAATTCCGTTCAGCGTTTCCTGAGTAGCTACTGTGTACAGGGTCCTGTGCAAGCTCTTCCCAATTCAACCCACTTCTCACTGTGTTGCCCGGTTAATCGCCCTTAAAGCATGCATCCGATGCCTTTGCATTAATAATAATAACACTAACATTTATTTACGGAGGGCTTACCAGGCGCCAGGCACTGGACTAAGCTCTCTGTAGGCATTATCTTAGCTAGTCCTCCTCCAACAACGCTATTAGGGTTATCGCCATTTCACAGATGAGGAATCTGAGATTTGTCAAGGAACTTCAGTGTCTCTCAGCTAGTATGCAACTGTGAGCTGGGATTTTAACCTCTGTGTCATCTGACCCTGGTTCCCCCAACCATACCATCACCACCTTAGTCTGCATTTACTGGCCTCATCCCCTGCTACTTCCCTACAGGAGCCTCTTAACTTCAGCCAACTGAACTCCTCCATTGTTACCTTCAAGTGCCCCTTGCATTCTGGTCTCCTTACATTGCTTGTGCTGTGAGCTCCGGGAGGAATGCCCTTCTCCCACTTTTGCTTGGGTCCAAATCCAACCCATTCATCTGGGCAGGAGTCAAATGTCTACACTCCTTCCCTGATTGCCCCAGCCAGAAGGAATCACTTCCCCCTCCAAACAACCAGAAGGTAGACAGATACAAATCAGCCACTCACCACTAAACTATATTCAGAAATCCCCTTGCTTTTTAGAGGAACGGGCCTGGCTTTGTGGCTGGGCCAGTCTTGTCTGATGGACTCTGCCTCTCCTTTAAGATGAGGCTAGGAGAAGCAGAGAAAGAAGAATGTTTTTTCTTCATTATCTTTACCTGTAATTCCACCTTCAGTAATTTACTCCAAAGGTAGATTTCACTTTCTTTGAAATCCCTCCTTCTTAGGTCTGCCTGGACCATTGGCCTCAGGCTGACTGTAGCTAGTAGTTTTATTGGTTCTCTCTCCTGGCAGCTATAGAATTGAGGGACATCATTCCAGAACTCCTAGACATTACTTGAGGAAAACACTGGAGGATACAAAAAGGCTCTAAAGACCAGAAAGGGACAACAGTCATGGCCCATCAATGAACAAAGGCTTCCCCTGGTAACTAGAAACTGGTCAACTGGAGTCTGCTTTCTGGGAACTGACTCTGATTTTTCATAATCAAGTTCTCCTGGTTCCTTCCTTCCCTTCTCCAGCATTCTGAGTCTTCACTTCTTGCCTCAAATCCTGGTGCCACTGATGTTTTCCCCTGGATAGCTGATAGGTGGGAGAGACTAAGGGAGAAAATAAAATAGAAAAAGAGGATAATTAATACCTTAACATGACATTTTTCAGAGGTTAGTCTTTGAATCTATAAGCAAGTGTGTATATGGTCCACATAATTGAATTTCACTGGGGCTCTTGGAGAAGTATTAGCAAGAAATGTTAGGTAGAACAAGCTGGAAAAATATGAGCAGGAAGAGAAGGGAATGTCTAAGCACAGCTTTCTCCACCAGATGGCGCTCTCACCCACTCTTACACAGACTTGTTCAGAAGCCTCTCTAAACTTGGGGTTTCTGGCGATGGTCTCTCGTGCCACCATTTCTTGCATATACCAGATCTTCTCATGCTTCTAGCTGCATTAGTTATCTCTTGCTGTGTAACAATTATTTCAAAACTTACTGGCTTATCAAAACCGCAAAAAACCAAAAAACTTAGCAGCTTAAAACAATGATAAATATGTATTATTTGGCTTTTGGGTGGTTTTTGCAGGAAACTGCAAGCAGCTTGGTGGGTGGTTTTGGCCCAGGGGCTTTTGTGAGGTTGTACTCAGATGCTGGCCAGGGCTGCTGTCATCTGAAGGCTTGATGGGGCTGAAGGATTGGCTTCCTCACATAGCAGACTGGTTGGTGCTGGCTCTTGTGCTGACAGGCTGGCAAGGGGTTTCAGTTCCTCTCCACCTGGGACTCTCCAGAAGGCATCTCGAGTGTCCTCGCGACATGGAGGCTGACTTCCCCCAGAGCAGGAAATCCAAGAGGGAGCAAAGCAGGAAGCTACAAGGTCTTCTATGCCATATCCTCAAAAGTCACACACTGTCACTTTCACAATATCCTGTTGGTTTTACGAGTGCGAACTAGTCAACATTCCAATGCATAGTGGGAAGATTATACAACAGCATAACTACCAGAAGGTGAGAATTATCGGGGCCATCCTGGAGGCCATCTTGGAGGCTGGCTGCTGTGTGCTGTTCTGTCGGCTTAGATTACCTTTCCTTCCACCTCATCTCCCCCTGCTCACCTTTTAACATCCAGCTTGAATATCAGGTTCTTTGTAAAGACTTCCCCAAATAATTCCTCACTTCCTCCTCTGTGTTTACACAGAACTCTTTCATCTCTATTAAGCACCTATCACCTTGCATTTCTTTTTTCTTTCTTTCTTTCTTTTTTTTTTTTTTTTTTTTTGGCCACGCAGCACGCAGGATCTTAGTTCCCCAACCAGGCATCAAACCTATACCCCCCTGCAGTGGAAACTCGGAGTCTTAACCACTGGACCGCCAGGGAAGTCCCTCACCTTGCATTTCAATCTTTCTCTTGAACATGACTATTTCCCTCATTGTGTCCTGAATTCCTGAGAGCAGGGGGACTGTGACTTAACATCTTGCCAGTCCCAGTTTCTGCCAAGTACATAGCACAGCCCTGGCATAGTAGGTACTCAATGAATGCTTGTTTTAAAATAAATGAGTAAAACAAAAAATAACAAGTGTTGGTGAGGATGTGGAGAAACAAGAACCTTGTGTGCTGTTGGTGGGAACGTAAATGGTGCAGACTCTATGGAAAACAATATGGCAGTTCCTAAAAAAGTTAAACAGAATCACCATATGATCCAGCAATGCCACTTCTGGGCATATACCCAAAAGAACTGAAAGCAGAGTCTCGAAGAGATATTTGTATACCCATGTTCACAGCAGTTTTAATCACAAAAGGTGGAAGCAACCCAAGTGTCCATTAATGGATGAATGGATAAACAAAATGTGGTGTATACATACACAATGGGCTATTTTTACTTAAAAAATAAGGAAATTCTGACACATGCTACAACATGAATGAACCTTGAGGACATTGATGCTGAGTGAAGAGCTCAGCCAGTCACAAAAAGACAAATACTGTATGATTACACTTATATGAGGTATCTAGAGCAGTGAAATTCCTAGAGACAGAAAGTACTGAATAGTGGTTGTCAGGGGCTAGAGGGAGGGGGAATGGAGATTGATTATTTAATGAGTACAGACTTTCAGTTTTGCAAGATGAGAAGAGTTCTGAAGATGGTTGCCCAACAGCGTGAACATATTTAATACCAACGAACTGTACATTTAAAAAATGGTTAAGGGGGCTTCCCTGGTGGCGCACTGGTTGAGAATCCGCCTGCTAACGCAGGGGACACGGGTTCGAGCCCTAGTCTGGGAAGATCCCACATGCCGTGGAGCAACTAGGCCCGTGAGCCACAACTACTGAGCCTATGCGTCTGGAGCCTGTGCTCCCCAACAAGAGAGGCCGCGACAGTGAGAGCCCGCGCACAGCGATGAAGAGTGGCCCCCGCTTGTCACAACTAGAGAAAGCCCTCCCACAGAAACGAAGACCCAACACAGCCAAAAATAAATAAATAAAAACAAATGTGCGGTTTAAAAAAAAAAAAGGTTAAGATGGGGACTTCCCTGGTGGTGCAGTGGTTAAGAATCTGCCTGCCAATGCAGGGGTCACAGGTTTGATCCCTGGTCCAGGAAGATCCCACATGCCGTGGAGCAATAAATCCCATGCGCCACAACTACTGAGCCTGCGCTCTAGAGCCTGCAAGCCACAACTACTGAGCCCACGAGCCACAACTACCGAAGCCCATGCACCTAGAGCCCGTGCTCCACAAGAAAAGCCACCGCAATGAGAAGCCAGTGCACCGCAACAGAGAGTAAGCTCTGATCGCCGCAACTAGAGAAAGCCTGTGTGCAGCAACAAAGACCCAATGCAGCCTAAATAAATAAACTTATTTTTTTAAATGGTTAAGATGGTAAATTTTATGTTATGTGTATTTTGCCACAATTTTTAAAAATTTTAAACAGAGGAATGATGGATAAAGAAAGTGTGATATATCCAGTCAGTGGAATACTAATATTTATCATTAAAAGGAACGTATTGATACATGCTACAACATAGATGAACCTTGAAAACATTATGCCATGTAGACACAAAAGGCTACATATTGTATGATTCCATTTACACTAAGTGTCCAGCGCAGGCAAGTCCATACAGACAGAAAGTAGATTGATTTAGTGGCTGCCAGGGACTGGCGGGAAGAAGGAATTGGGAGTGACTAATAGGTACAGCGCTTCTTTTTCGGGTGATGGAAATGTTCTGGAATTGGATAGTGGTGATAGTTGCACAACTTTGTGAATATACTAAAACCACTGAATTGTACACTCTAAAACGGAGAATTTCTGCGTGAAATTTTATCTTACAGGAACTGTTTCAATTCTTTTAAATGAATGAATAAATGAAAGAAACATTTGACTGATATGTATTTTTAGATTCTCTTTAATATTTGGGTTTACTCTA